AAAGACCGCAAGACTCGATTTGTGTGGGTCCGTCCGATCGCGAAAAAGAGCGACGTGCTCGTCGTTTTCGAAAAGTGGCTGAAGGAAGTGGAGCGGCAGATCTCGAAGTCAGTGAAAAGGTTGCGCTCGGACCGCAGAGGGGAGTTCCTCAGTCGGGCCTTCACCGATCTCGTCGAGGACAAGGGTATCCTCCAAAACCTCACATGCCCCTACACTCCGCAGCAGAATGGGATGGCGGAGCGAGAGATGCGCACGGTCGTCGAAGCTGTTCGAATGATGTTGCTTCACATGGGCGTGAAGCATCACTGGTGGCACCTCGCCCTTCGCCAAGCTGTCTGGGTGCGCAAGTGTCTCGAACGGGCCTCCCTTCCTCCAAGGACGACGTCGTATGAGCTGCTGTTCGAAAAGAAGCCGGACCTTAGGCTGGCGCGCGTGTGGGGATGCATGGTGCAGTTCATGGTCACGGAGCAGCAGCGCGGCAGAAAGTTGGCACCGAAAGCACGCTGGGGAATTCACCTCGGTGTTTCGCTGGAGAGTTAGGGTTGGGAGGTGCTCGACCTCACCAACAACTGCGTTGTCACAACCCTGGAAGCAATCTTCTACGAGTCAATGACTCTGGAGGAGTGGAAGGTGGAGCATAGGCCGGCGTCAGCACGGGCGAAGGATTCTCCGCTGACGGGTCCATTGCCGGCGGCGATTCAGTTGCTCGAAGCCGAGGACGATGGTCTGTCTGACGATCCCTCTCCCTCCATTCCACCCTCCTCGAAAGCTCCTCCGCCTCTACCTGCCTCCCCCCCATCGCTCGCCGCCGATCTGCCTAAGTCGGCATCGACGTCGGCCGCCAGCGATGAGGGGAGCATTGGTGCGTTGCCTTCGGCTCCGCCCATCGGCATCGCTGGCGGTCGACGTGGTCTGGTCGACAAGCAAGTCGGCGTTGGAGTGAAGTCTCCGCCGACAGGGGAGCCGTCGAACGGGAAGCGCGTTTCAGAGAAGCCGTCGACAGGGAAGCCGTCGAACGGGAAGCTCGTTTCAGAGAAGCCGTCGACAGGGGAGCCGTCAAATGAGGAGCTTGCTTCAGAGGAGCGGGCGACTGGGGAGCAGTTCGAAGAAGGCACATCGAGCGACGTTGTTGAAGTCATCAGCGACACTGATGGGGAGCTGTCAACCGGAGAGCAGTTCAGCGACAGTGACGTGGTGGAAGTCTCTGCCGACAAGCCTGCAGTTCGATGTTCCACCCGCTCCAACTTTGGCAAGCCTCCCGAGAGGCTGAGCTACCATGCATGCCTTCCACCGACCTCCTACAGCACTCTGCTCGACAATGCGCTGTTCGACATCGATTTGCCCGAACTCGACCCCGATATGCACGCCGGCCCAGAGCACCGCTAGGACATTGCAAACATGACAGTGAAGGAGGCGTTAGCGAGCTGGAAGGGCAAGGCGGTGAAAGCGGCGATGGACGAGGAAATTCGAAGTCTCATCTCCAACGGCACATGGGAGCTGGTGGAGCACCCGCGCGGCGTCAATGTCATAAAGAACCGCTAGGTTCTGATGACAAAGTACCATGTCGACGACACGGTCGCCCGCGAAAAAGTGCGCCTGGTGGTTAAAGGCTTCACGCAGGTCTACAGAGCTGATTACGACGAGACGTACGCACCGGACGGGAGCTACGTCACGCTGCGGATTTTCCTCAGCATTTTCGCCGTCCTCGACCTGCACTTCATGCAATTAGACATGAAGAATGCTTTTCTGCAGAGCAAGCTCGACCGCGTGCTCTATGTGGACCAGCCGGCTTACTACAACAATGGCACTGGCCGCGTATGCAAGCTGCTGAAGAGCTTGTACGGGCTGAAGCAGAGTCCTCTGCTGTGGTACTCGGCGCTCGATGCTGTGCTGACGGGCGCCGGCTGGAGCAAGAGCCAGGAGGACGAGGCTCTATATTTCAGAGTTGGCGACGACGGAGTGGCGTGCTGGGTGCTCTTATACGTCGACGACCTGCTCGCCGCCAGCTGCAGCACCGCGATGCTGAAGGAGCTGAAGGAGCTGCTGGAGGCGGCTTTTGAGCTGCGCGAGATCAGCCCGGTAAGTATTTGGGGCTCGAAATTGTGCGCGACCGTCCGACGCAGAAGCTGTGGCTGCACCAGCAGTCCTACGTTGACAAGCTGCGTAGGCACTTCATCGACGAGGAGCAGACTGGTCGGCGTCTGAAGACGCCCGTTTCTTTGTCGATGCCTACGCCGAGCTGACCTTCGACGATGAGGACTTCCAGTCGCGCGAAGAGGAGGAGTACCGTCTGAAGGTCGGTTCGCTGCTGTTCACTGCCACGACAACTCGGTCCGACATCGCTTTCGCGTGCAGCAAGCTGGGGTCCGGTCTGACGGTGAGGAGCGACCAGCACTGGCGCGAGGTCGATCGCTGCCTCACCTATCTCGCCGACACGCGCGATGCTGCTCTGGAGTTCGGCGCAGACGCTGACGACGCTGGTGACAAGCAGACGCGCAACAGCACGAATGGCTACGTTTTCACCTTCGGGGGCGCAGCTGTCTCCTGGACGAGCCAACGCATCAAGTGCGTGACTCTGTCTTCAATGGAGTCCGGGTATATCACGGCCACCGAAGCCGGCAGGGAGGCTCGTTGACTTCGATTCTTCCTCACCGAGTTCTGGCTCCTCGACGTTGGGACGCCAACTGCTCTGAACGTGGACAATCAGTCTGCCATCTCGGTCGCTGAGGGCTTGGGGTTGAAGGGCAACCTCAAGCACATGGAGCGACGTTATGCTTGGCTGCAGCAGATGGTGAACCGCAAGAAGATTGCGTTGCAATACATCCCAACTTCCGAGCAGCCAGTGGACTTTCTCACTAAGGCGCTGCATTTTCCGGCATTCAGCCGATGCTCTGTCTCGGTCGGCCAGGTTCGCCTTGCCGAAATCGGCGACGACGATGTCGACGTGCAGCAGTAGGTGCCATGTCCTCTAACATGGCTGGTGTGGTGATCGGCGTGCGGGGGTGTGCTGTCAGAATGTTATATTTGTCTAGCCTACAGTGGGGTACTCAATAGTGAGTACAGCCCAACTTAGGGTTTGCTATATGTACTCAACTGCTTGCTAGTCCAAACCCTCTTTCTCGTTTCTAACTTTCAACTGATGTTTCCAACATGGAATCAGAGCAGGTCGACCCTCCTGGGTCGATCCTGTGCATGGGCCCACCTAAGCTTCCGCTGTCATCACTGCCCATCGCGCGCCTCGGGCGCGCGCTGTCTTTCTGCCCGTCGCGCGCCCATGGCGCGCTGTCATTTTTCTTCCCGCCGCGCGCCACTAGCGCGGCGGTTTTCTGCCCATCGCGCCGCCCTCCAGAGCGTGCGACGCCCTGCCTGCCCGTCGTGCGCCCCGAGGCGCGCGACGGTGCTCTGCCTGCCTGCCTGCCTGCCCGTCGTGCGCCCTGTGGCGCGCGACGGTGCCCTGCCCGTTGTGCGCCCCGAGGCGTGCGGCGGTTTCGTCACCTGTCGAGGCGCACCGGGGGCCCACGCACCCCCCCCCCCCCCCCCCCCCCCCGCCTTTTCCCGTCGCCTGTCGAGGCGACCTGGGGGCCGCGCGGCCGCGCGTCGCCCCTTCTGTCGCCCCTCACGGCACCCAGGGGGGGACCGCGTGTCGGCCCCTCCCGTCTTCGTCGCGGCCCGGCCCTGCCCTGTCGTCCTGCCCCGGCCCTGTCGCGGCCCTGCCCCCCCCCCCCCCCCCCCCCCCCCCCCCCCCCAAACCTCCCTACCCGCCAGCTACCTCCCTGCCCTGTGTTAGGGTTTGGGGGTGGCGAGTATGGGGTGAAGGGTGTGTGCTGCCTCCCCTGCTCCTCCTCCTCCTATGTCTCACACTGCTGCAGCTGCCGCTGAGGGGGGTGGTTGTGTGGGAGCCGACGGAGTGGTGCGAGGGGGTGGAGTGTGAGTAGTGCTAGAGGTGCAGCAGGGGGTGTGTGACAGGGGGGTGCGACAGTGGGGGAGGTTGGGTGGAGGTAGCCGTCGTATCGTCAGCAGCGCCAGTAGTCCGGAGGTGCGCCTCCGGTAGCCTAGCGAGCCTGCAGGGGGTGTGTGACAGGGGGGTGCGACAGTGGGGGAGGTTGGGTGGAGGTAGCCGTCGTGTCGTCAGCTACGCCAGTCGCCCGTGGGTCCGTTGCTCCTGCCGCTCGTCTTAGCCGCGGAGCCAGTTACTCCTGTAGTCCGGAGGTGCGCTTCCGGTAGCCACAGTGCGCGCCGCTCCTGTTGCCCGTGTGTCTGCAGCTTCAGCCGTTGCCTCCTCTCTCCTTTCATATCAGTCCAGCTCCTCCTCCTCACTATCCTCTAGCTTTGCTTGTATTTGTGAACTATAAACTGCTACTTCTTGTACTTGTGCTCAGAATGTGTGGTGACTTTGTGATCCACCCTGAGCTTGTTTTGCTTTGCTTGTTGTGCTGATTACACCCCACTTTGGCTATGGGGGTGTGTCAGAATGTTATATTTGTCTAGCCTGCAGTGGGGTACTCAATAGTGAGTACAGCCCAACTTAGGGTTTGCTATATGTACTCAACTACTTGCTAGTCCAAACCCTCTTTCTCGTTTCGAACTTTCAACTGCTGTTTCCAACATGGGCATGGTGACGAAATATCCCCTTATATTCTATTACGTAGGTTTTGGGTGGACCTTGTCTGTGGGGGCCCAAGCTTGAGCTGGCAGGGGATTGTCGAGGAGAAAGGGAAAATATGTCACAGGTAACCATCATGTGACCCGATAACGTCAATGGTAAAAATAAAAAGCGTACGGTAACTGTATCGAGTATCCTAACGGGTTTGGTAAGTGGGGTCACGGATTCAGTCACTATCAACAGCTCAAAAATCCCGCGAATGGTAACACATGAAATGATCGGGCCCGATCGTCGCTAGATGCATCGCGACGATCAGGAGCAGCCGCCGCCGTGATGCGCATTGCGGCCAGCTTCGGGCCGCAAAGCGCATCGCGCTGACCGGGCCGCCGCCGCCGCGATGCGCATTGCGTCCTGCTTTTGGCCGCTCCACGCATCGCGCCGACCAGGCCGCCGCCGTCGCCATGCGCAATACCCATCTTTCCTCACTCCCTCGCATGCCGTGTCATCCCCGGCCAAAGCCGCGGCTTATGGCAAATTGCCACGCCTTTCTTTTATGCTACCTCGTGCCTGACTACTCTCTAGTCCACATTTGTTACGTTGAATCACCTCTCCGTCCCTCTCACCCACTCTCATACGCTCTCATTCCCTCTCACCCACTCTCATACGCTCTCATTCCCTCTCACCCACTCTCATACGCTCTCATTCCCTCTCACCCACTCTCATACGCTCTCATTTCCTCTCACCCACTCTCATACACTCTCATCCCCTCTCACCCACTCTCATACGCTCTCATTCCCTCTCACCCACTCTCATACGCTCTCATTCCCTCTCACCCACTCTCATACGTTCTCATTCCCTCTCACCCACTCTCTTACGCTCTCATTCCCTCTCACCCACTCTCATACGCTCTCATTCCCTCTCACCCACTCTCTTACGCTCTCATTCCCTCTCACCCACTCTCATACGCTCTCATTCCCTCTCACCCACTCTCATACGCTCTCATTCCCTCTCACCCACTCTCATACGCTCTCATTCCCTCTCACCCACTCTCATACGCTCTCATTCCCTCTCACCCACTCTCATACGCTCTCATTCCCTCTCACCCACTCTCATACGCTCTCATTCCCTCTCACCCACTCTCATACGCTCTCATTCCCTCTCACCCACTCTCATACGCTCTCATTCCCTCTCACCCACTCTCATACGCTCTCATTCCCTCTCACCCACTCTCATACGCTCTCATTCCCTCTCACCCACTCTCATACGCTCTCATTCCCTCTCACCCACTCTCATACGCTCTCATTCCCTCTCACCCACTCTCATACGCTCTCATTCCCTCTCACCCACTCTTATACGCTCTCATTTTCTCTCACCCACTCTCATACGCTCTCATTCCCTCTCACCCACTCTCATACGCTCTCATTCCCTCTCACCCATTCTCATACGCTCTCATTCCCTCTCACCCACTCTCATACGCTCTCATTCCCTCTCACCCACTCTCATACGCTCTCATTCCCTCTCACCCACTCTCATACGCTCTCATTCCCTCTCACCCACTCTCATACGCTCTCATTCCCTCTCACCCACTCTCATACGCTCTCATTCCCTCTCACCCACTCTCATACGCTCTCATTCCCTCTCACCCACTCTCATACGCTCTCATTCCCTCTCACCCACTCTCATACGCTCTCATTCCCTCTCACCCACTCTCATACGCTCTCATTCCCTCTCACCCACTCTCATACGCTCTCATTCCCTCTCACCCATTCTCATACGCTCTCATTCCCTCTCACCCACTCATACGCTCTCATTCCCTCTCACCCACTCTCATACGCTCTCATTCCCTCTCACCCACTCTCATACGCTCTCATTCCCTCTCACCCACTCGCATACGCACTCATTCCCTCTCACCCACTCTCATACGCTCTCATTCCCTCTCACCCACTCTCATACGCTCTCATTCCCTCTCACCCACTCTCATACGCTCTCATTCCCTCTCACCCACTCTCTTACGCTCTCATTCCCTCTCACCCACTCTCATACGCTCTCATTCCCTCTCACCCACTCTCTTACGCTCTCATTCCCTCTCACCCACTCTCATACGCTCTCATTCCCTCTCACCCACTCTCATACGCTCTCATTCCCTCTCACCCACTCTCATACGCTCTCATTCCCTCTCACCCACTCTCATACGCTCTCATTCCCTCTCACCCACTCTCATACGCTCTCATTCCCTCTCACCCACTCTCATACGCTCTCATTCCCTCTCACCCACTCTCATACGCTCTCATTCCCTCTCACCCACTCTCATACGCTCTCATTCCCTCTCACCCACTCTCATACGCTCTCATTCCCTCTCACCCACTCTTATACGCTCTCATTTTCTCTCACCCACTCTCATACGCTCTCATTCCCTCTCACCCACTCTCATACGCTCTCATTCCCTCTCACCCATTCTCATACGCTCTCATTCCCTCTCACCCACTCTCATACGCTCTCATTCCCTCTCACCCACTCTCATACGCTCTCATTCCCTCTCACCCACTCTCATACGCTCTCATTCCCTCTCACCCACTCTCATACGCTCTCATTCCCTCTCACCCACTCTCATACGCTCTCATTCCCTCTCACCCACTCTCATACGCTCTCATTCCCTCTCACCCACTCTCATACGCTCTCATTCCCTCTCACCCACTCTCATACGCTCTCATTCCCTCTCACCCACTCTCATACGCTCTCATTCCCTCTCACCCACTCTCATACGCTCTCATTCCCTCTCACCCACTCTCATACGCTCTCATTCCCTCTCACCCACTCATACGCTCTCATTCCCTCTCACCCACTCTCATACGCTCTCATTCCCTCTCACCCACTCTCATACGCTCTCATTCCCTCTCACCCACTCTCATACGCTCTCATTCCCTCTCACCCACTCTCATACGCTCTCATTCCCTCTCACCCACTCTCATACGCTCTCATTCCCTCTCACCCACTCTCATACGCTCTCATTCCCTCTCACCCACTCTCTTACGCTCTCATTCCCTCTCACCCACTCTCATACGCTCTCATTCCCTCTCACCCACTCTCTTACGCTCTCATTCCCTCTCACCCACTCTCATACGCTCTCATTCCCTCTCAACCACTCTCATACGCTCTCATTCCCTCTCACCCACTCTCATACGCTCTCATTCCCTCTCACCCACTCTCATACACTCTCATTCCCTCTCACCCACTCTCATACGCTCTCATTCCCTCTCACCCACTCTCATACGCTCTCATTCCCTCTAACCCACTCTCATACACTCTCATCCCCTTTCTTTTATGCTACCTCTTGCCTGACTACTCTCTAGTCCACATTTGTTACGTTGAATCCCCTCTCCGTCCCTCTCACCCACTCTCATACGCTCTCATTCCCTCTCACCCACTCTCATACGCTCTCATTTTCTCTCACCCACTCTCTTATGCTCTCATTCCCTCTCACCCACTCTCACACGCTCTCATTCCCTCTCACCCACTCTCATACGCTCTCATTCCCTCTCACCCACTCTCATACGCTCTCATTCCCTCTCACCCACTCTCATACGCTCTCATTCCCTCTCACCCACTCTCATACGCTCTCATTCCCTCTCACCCACTCTCATACGCTCTCATTCCCTCTCACCCACTCTCATACGCTCTCATTCCCTCTCACCCACTCTCATACGCTCTCATTCCCTCTCACCCACTCTCATACGCTCTCATTCCCTCTCACCCACTCATACGCTCTCATTCCCTCTCACCCACTCTCATACGCTCTCATTCCCTCTCACCCACTCTCATACGCTCTCATTCCCTCTCACCCACTCTCATACGCTCTCATTCCCTCTCACCCACTCTCATACACTCTCATTCCCTCTCACCCACTCTCATACGCTCTCATTCCCTCTCACCCACTCTCATACGCTCTCATTTTCTCTCACCCACTCTCTTACGCTCTCATTCCCTCTCACCCACTCTCATACGCTCTCATTCCCTCTCACCCACTCTCATACGCTCTCATTCCCTCTCACCCACTCTCATACACTCTCATCCCCTCTCACCCACTCTCATACGCTCTCATTCCCTCTCACCCACTCTCATACGCTCTCATTCTCTCTCACCCACTCTCATACGTTCTCATTCCCTCTCACCCACTCTCTTACGCTCTCATTCCCTCTCACCCACTCTCATACGCTCTCATTCCCTCTCACCCACTCTCTTACGCTCTCATTCTCTCTCACCCACTCTCATACGCTCTCATTCCCTCTCACCCATTCTCATACGCTCTCATTCCCTCTCACCCACTCTCATACGCTCTCGTTCCCTCTCACCCACTCTCGTACGCTCTCATTCCCTCTCACCCACTCTCATACGCTCTCATTCCCTCTCACCCACTCTCATACGTGTTGGTGCAACCCTACGGTTTGCACTCGGCTTGTTGTCCGTGTGCGTGAATGTGTGTGTGTATGGAATGGTATGAGGGCATGGGATAATATATATTTCATGCTTATAATTGTGTGTGAATGTTGAGTCATGATGTCGAGTGTGTGTGTCGAGTCAATAGCGAGTTATCGCTAGACGCGTGTTACGCGGTCGTTTGTGTCTCGCGCGCGGTTTCTATTTTGTCGTGCGCGGTTTCTATTTTGTCCTGTGTCGAACGTTCGGCGTGTCGCAGGTGTGTGCAGCAGACCCATCAAGAACTCAAGGATGAGTTTGTGATGAAGAGCCCGAGCCTTGGTGTCAAGCCTCAAGTGATTTCGAAGCTTGCCAAAAGGGTACACCTCAAGATATTGAAGATAGTTACATTACTTTGTGTAGTGTAACATTTCACTTGGTGTAGGCCCTAGTGAAGGGTAGTTTCGAGACCCTTCGTGGTTGGGGACAGTGTGGCACTGTTCCACATCACTGTACCTCGGCTCTTGGGGTTTGTAGGAGCTGGGAGTCATTCCCAACTCGTAACTCTTCCTATCTTGTGTTCTAAGACTATAGTGGCTGCCATAGTACCGTTCGTTCAAACCGACGCTGTGTCGTCAATTCTTTATCAAATCGTGCAATCTAAATTGCTTATTGTAGGCGACGTCAAGACGCTCCAGATCCAATTTGAATCAAGTCATTTGCAGCTGTGAGCAGAACGCTATCAACGTTTGAAGCCGCTGTGCAGAAATCCGTCTGTGCACTCTATCTTTCGTTTTAGGCACATTCAAGGCTATTGTGACTATAACAAGTGGTATCAGAGCCCCTTGGAGCAGTTTCGACAATGGATGGACCTGAGGAAAGGGGTGGCAGAGTTGCTGGTGGCAGTGGAGAAGCTCAAGCTCAAGGCCAACCCCGTGATTCAGCCATGGCGCCCATGCAACCAAGTCTTGGCCCACCTAGGGATGAGCCTAGGGTGTTTGGGCTTGACAAGTTCAACGGTGACAACTTTGCTGAATGGTCCTTCAAGATGGAGAACATCTTTGACCACTATGACCTGCTGGAGGTGATGGAAGGAACGGAGAAGCGCCCCGAGAACGACCCGGAGAAGAGCCCGTGGGTGCGGAAGAGCGCACAAGGCTATCTCCTACTTGGGCAAGCGTTGGGGAGCAGCCAGATCCGTCACATCAAACCATTCCAGCGTGAACCAGAGAAGGGACCAAATGCATGGGCTGCTCTCAAGGGTGTACATGCTCCTGCAACAGCGGCGGTAGCGGTGGTGTTGGAACGGCAAATGGCGGCACTACGAATTGAAGAAGACGAAGCGGTTGAAGAAGGGGTGCAGAAATTCTTCGACTTGTTGACGCGGCTTGAGGGAGCTGATTTGAACTACAGTGAGCTCCAAAAGAAGACCAAGTTGCTGGCCTTACTCCCAGAGTCATGGTCCTCTCTCATCATCAACCTCAATCGTGACTTGCCCCACCTCTCGCTCGAAGACGTGAAGCGAGCGATCCTTCAAGAGGATTTCCGTCGCCGTGAGTTGGCGAGTGCGGATGGCGCCGGGGCAGCAAGCATCGGCCGTGGATATGGCCGTGGAAAGGGCAGAGGACGAGGAGGAGGAAGTTTTGGAGGCAGCAACTTCAACGGAGGCCGCGGGAGTAGCGGATACGGCAATGACAACAAGAACAACGGACGCGGTCGCGGACGGTTCGACGGCGAGTGTCATTTTTGCCACAAGAGCGGACACATGTGGCGCGATTGCTACAAACTCCCTGATGGATGGACTCCTGCTCAAGGCCAAGAGGGTAGAGGAGCAGGAGGAGGGAGAGGAAGAGGCCGTGGAGGCCGTGGCGGTCGCGGAGGTGGTGCTGCAAGTATGAAGAGTGCCGGCAACGAGAGCGAGTCGAGGGACGATCGCTTCCCGGGTCAATTCTTCTTCGTGTCCACGCAAGCACCGGCTGGTCCAGAGAATGACGAAAGCTTTGAGGAGCCAGCAGCTGTGGGGAAGGTCACCCTACACTCCCTGGACTATTGGGTGATCGATAGCGGCGCTACCTATAGCATGACACCTCGTGCGGACTTGCTCACCGAACTTGAGCCGTCACCGGTGAAGCATGTGACATCGGCTTTGGGGCAGCGAGCAGAGGTGAAAGGCATGGGCAAGGCCATGTTCAAGGGTGCTGATGGGAAGATGGTGGGCCTCAAGAACGTGCTTTGGGTGCCCAACCTTGCTGCCAACCTGATTTCCGTGCGGCGGTTGCAAAAGGCCGGCATGGACACGAGCTCGAAGGGAGCTAAGACCTACACCGCGAGGCTTGGCGAGCGGATTCTTTGGGACCTTCACGAGGATAGGGATGTCTACAACGAGATGTGGCAAATCCCTATGGTCCCCATGCCTAAGGAGAGGCAAGTGGCAGCAAGCATCAGCACCAAGGGTGAAGCGGTTGGTAGCGGCGATGGCGCGAACGGTCGCGCTAAGGAGATAAAGTCCAAGAAGTGCAATCTTGGAGGGACCAGCAAGCTCGGTGAACATGAGGAGAGTGGTGCAGCAGCTCAGAAGCAGCACAAGGGTGAGGAGAACCCCAAGGCAGCAGTGGAGGAGGAGTACGGAGAGAACATGTGGGGCACTATTGCGAGTGCGGCATTCTCCAATCCGACTTCGGCCACGGGGGAGTGTGATTGGCTCACCTTGCATCGGCGAATGGGGCATGTGGCCCTGCCCATCTTGCAGCAGCTAGTGAAGAATGAGATGGTTGCTGGCATACGTGTGAAGGGGGAGCCCGATGAGGTACTTGGCTGCCCGACGTGCATGCAAGCCAAGTTCACCCGTTTCCCGTTCTCTAGTTCGGAGGCAACGGCTAAGGCACCACTTGATGAGGTGGTGATGGACGTGGTGGGCCCCCTGAAGTTTGGAGCTGCTGGAGCTGAGTACTTTCTCACCATTGTGGACGTCTACACTCGCATGACTTGGGTGTACGTGCTGTCCAAGAAGAGTGACGTGGCTGAAACGGTGAAGACCGATTGGTTGCCGATGGTGGAGCGGCAACAAGACCGGCTAGTGAAGGCAATCCGCACCGATCGAGGGGGAGAGTTCTTGAGCAAGGAGTTTGGATTGTGGCTGAAGAAGAATGGCATAAGGCACTCCCTTACCATGCCATACTCCCCTGCAATGAACGGCATCGCCGAGCGAGCGAACCGGACAATCACGGAGACGGCGCGCGGGTTGCTCAATGAAGCCGGGCTACCCGAATATTTCTGGCCTGATGCGGTGCGGAGTGCATGTGTGGCCAAGAACAGAGCTTTGACTCATGTGGGAGCAGACAAATGGGTGCCCTATGTGGAGTGGATTGGAAGGAAGCCAAAGGTGGATATGCTTCGGGTGTTCGGGTGCATGTGCATGGCGCTCGTGCCTAAGCATCTTCGGCACAACAAGCTCGGTGCCAAGGCGATATGGGCTGTGCACTTGGGCATGGCTCAAAACAGCAAGGGGTGGCTTCTTTGGGACCCATTCACCAAGAAATTCTTGGTGAGCAGGGACTGCAAATTCATGGAGAATCTGATGTACAAGGATTGGAAGGCGGAGAATGAGGCGAAGATAGGCGTGCGGTTGGGGTTCGTGAAGAGTTCCGGTTTGGAGCATGTGGAGCTGCCCTTGGAGCTGAGCAGCACCACCACAAGGCAATCTTCCCTTGTGAATGGGGGAGAGGAGGCCAAGGATGCAGAGGAAGAAGAGGAGGAGGTTCAGCAAGTGAGCGAGCGTGCACCGACACTTCCTTCTCGCACTACGAGTGCTCCACGGATCCGAGTCACCCCGCAGCAACGCCAAGGCCTTCATGTCCCTGCAGCTGAGGAAGAAG